GAGAGGGAGGGAGGGAGAGAGAGAGAGAGAGAGAGAGAGAGAGAGAGAAAGAGTATAGAATGGGGCCAAACTCCGCCTCTTACAATAGGCACGCTCCTGTGACAACGAACCCATCCCTGGTGGCAGCGTCACTCTGCTCACTGTGCTGTCATGGCTTCATCACCATTGTCTCACCAGCCCTCAGCTCCCCACACTGTTACATTGGGGGCCAAGTTTCTAACATGGCTTTGGGGGAGACACAGTAGAACCATAGCAGTGGGCGAAATGTGTTTGCTTTAGGGTTCTTTATCCCTCGAAAGTTAATCTTTTAGACTGTTTCCTGTGTCCATTCAACAAATCTTTATGGTGCCCATCATATTGTAGGCTTTTTTCCAGGTGCCGAGAATATAGCAACGAGTGTAGCAGACAAAGCTCTGTGCAGGTTCTTGACCTGTGAATCGTGGATGATCTGACTTAAACTGGCTTAAACAAGAAACTTCATTAATTCACATAGAAGTAAACCCAGAATTAGGATAGCTACGTTGGCTGACTGATAATTTAGCAATATCATAAAGTTCCTCCCTCTTAGGGCTGGAGAGATGGCTCAGTGGCTCTTGCAGAGGACCTGGGTTTGATTCCCAGCTGTCTGTAACTCCAGTACCAGGGACTCTTGACACCCTCCTCTGACCTCCATGGGCACTGCATGACATGCATACACTTGTACATGAAAGCAACACACTCATACACATTAAAAAAAAAAAAAGAATAAATTAAGTTCCTTCTGCCTCCTTGACTTGTTTCTATGACAGATATTGTGGCAGCATTATTTGTGACTAGTGACTAGTGGGAGAAAAAGACAGTGTTTGCTTTGCTTCTTAGAAGCCACTCACAATCTTGCTGTAGAATTTCTTGGCAGGAATTGGGCTGTTTGAACCAGAAATAACAAATGTTTCATTAATTCAAATTTCTTTGTTTTTAGAGAGACTTTCTTTTTCATTCTGTGATATTGGTAATTTTTGTTTTTCTCTCCTTTCTCCTTGGTTATGCTACCTGAATTTAAAAAGAAAAAATTTTCTGCAGGCAGCCACACCTTTGCTTCCAACACTCTGGAAGCAGAGGCAGGTGGATCTCTTATGAGGTAGAGGCCAACTTGGTCTGCATAGCAAGTTCCAGGCCAGCTTGGGCTACTGGGAGGCCATGTCTCAAAAAAACAAATTAAAACAACAAAAAAATTTTCCCTAGCAGTTAGTTTCAAAACTTAAGAGTTTCAGGATGCCAGTATTTTTTTTTCTGTTTCACTTTAATTATATCTTTAATCCTCTTTACTTTGAGTTTTGTTTTTAGTTTGTTTAAAAAAAAAAAAAGCTCTGCCACATTTTTATATTAAAGAAAAACTTTCCGGGTTTACTTTTCACCAGTCTATTCTGGCATGCTTCTAATAATAATCAGAATTACCTAGATCAGTAACAGCCAGTTATTCCATACACTGTATCCAGTTCAGTATTACTGCCACTGTAGTGATGGACAGTTTGGTCAACATGGAATATCCTGCTTCAGATTTCCTTAAAGCTGAGCAGTTGTTGGTGAGGATGACCAGTTTGACCTTGCCCTTTCTGATCATCTTCAGAGTCTGCTTGTACCCCAGCATGTACTTTCTGCTTTTCCTAACAAGCTGGAGGCTGCACCCAACCAAGAGCAGCCACCAAGATGGCCAAGGAGCGAGAAAGGAAGGAGCTCCCACTGTTTTCTACCTTCTTAAGGTGGCATTTCAGATTACTTATTTTAAATTAACTTGTTTTTAATTATATGTATGTCTGTGATTGCATGTGGGTATGCGTACATGAGTACAGGTGCCTTCAGAGGTTAGAGTCTTCAGCTCTCTTGGAGCTGGAGAAAGAAATGCTGGGAATCAAACTCAGATCCTATGGAAGAGCAGCACATGCTCTCAACTGCTGAGCCATCTTTCCAGTCCCCAAATTGCTTATTTAAGTCTATATTCTTTGTAAGACAAAACTGTCCATTTACCTGTACAGAGTGATTGAGCTGCACCTACAAATTTAGATGTGTTTTCAGTTTCATTTACTTCAAAATATTTTCTGATTTCACTTGATCAACTTCATTTACTTCAAAATATTTTCAAAATAAATATTTTGCTCTGTGAGTTAGAAGCATATTGATTAATTTACAAATACAGCAGTCTCCCCTTAAGGAGGAGAGGGGCTCATCCCAAGACCCCCCCATGGATGCCAAAAACCTTGAATAGTCCCATACCCTACATGTGCTGTTTATCCTATATGTGCATACTTTTGATAAAGTTTAATTTACAAATTAGGTACAGTAAGACATTGACAACAGTAACAAATAATAAAATGGAACAATTTTAACAATATGCCAGAATAAAATTGCTACCATCATTCTTTTGTATATTGGGGCCAATATTAAATTAATAAGAGTTACCTGAAATATACACTGTGATGTTCTGAGAGTTGCTTTGATAACCAAAATGACTGTCAAGTGACTAATGAGTGATAGCACATACACGTGTGGTACACGGGACAAAGGCATAACTCACAGCTACAGAGGAGCATCAGGGCACAAGGGAGCAGGACAGTGTGATATTTCATCATGCAACTCAGAACAGTGCCCAACCTAAAACCTATCAGTTGTTCATTTCTGGCATTTTCCAGTTAACCTTTTTGGAGCATGACTGACCAGAGGTGGCTCAGATCACAAAAGCAGAGCTGTGAACAAGGAAGGACTCCATCTTCAGGATGCCCAGGCTTTGTTCTGTTTGCTATTTTTTATTTCACTCTGGTGTTATCAAGGATCATCTGTTGCGTGGTTTTGATCTTTTTAAATTTACTGGGCCTGTTTGATTCTTTACATAGTGTCTATTCTGTAGATGCTAATCTGTATGACAAGAATGTGCCTTCTGCTGCTGATGGGTAAGGGTTCTGTGTATTTCAGTGAGGTTAAGTGGATCTCTTCGTCTCTTCTATAATCTTCCTGACTTTTGTTCTGTTCGTGAGAGGAGACAGTTGAAATCTCCATCTGGTCTTGTGGAAGTATCTCTTCCCCTTGACTTTTGCTTCTTGTATTTTGGGGTTCTCCTGTGAAGTGCATTTACGTTTAAAAGTCTCATCTTTGTGACAGCTGTCATTCTGAAGTACGCCTTTGCCTGTGGTGACAGCCCTGTGTCTGCTTTGTCTGATAGTTGATAGCCTCCAACTCTTCTGGCTCTGTTCTTCCCTGGTGCATCTTTTCCGTGCTGCCGCTTTTAACCTATTCGTGGTTTGGAAGCTAAATTGTGTCTCTTACAGACGTAGGATAGTTGGATCTTGCCTTTTTAATCAGCATGGTACTTTTGGCCTTTAAATAATTTCTTCACATTTTATGGTTGGTGGTGTTAAATTTTTATCTGCCACTGTGGCTGGAGAGAAGCTCAGTGGTGTTAAGAGCACTTGTTGCTCTTGCAGAGGACCTGGGCTTGGTTCTCAGTACCCACATTGAACAGCTTAAAACTGCCTGTAATTCCAGTTCCAGGGGATCCGACAGCCTTTTCTGGCTTCTGTGGGAACTTGCGTGCATGTAATGCATACACACACACACACACACACACACAACACACA